AAAAAAATAATATAAATACACATTATAAATTATGAGTGTTCGGGTATAGGAATAAGTATATTAATTGGGGTTTAGACCCCTACTTATATACAAGAATAGATGAACTAAATTCAATCCCAACTAGACAGTTCATATGCTATAGTACTATAATTATTATATTATTTAGCTAGGCTTATATATATAAGTATGGTGTAAGGTTTATATATATATACCCCTCCAGAAGATGAAAAAGGTTATGGCAATAAGTTAGGTGGAATATCTAGAGCTTCTACTAAGTAATTATAAATTACCACAAAAATTTGAAGCTCCCACAAAATCATTAACAAAGTTGCTAACAACCATGACTGAAACAAAACTCAAAGCTATGGTATAAGCGTTAATTGACTATAGAATCCCGTGAACCAATTGTAACTTCATGTGCAACTACTAAATGCTTAAACTAACCTTGAAATTATAGCTTTGAACCAAAGCAAGGGACTTTGAGAACCATTATAATTTATAAAATACTATTGCAACAAATAATACATCCCACCTTTAAGTTTACCCGCTAATAATCTTCGAAGACCACTATTAACTTTAACTCATGACTATAAGTAAAACTTACCCCTTCATTTTTGTCTAGCACTACATATGGGACATCATTTATCCTCTATATCCTCCTTATCCCCTCCTTAAATGAAAAAGAGTTTTGAAGCATTAACTCCATTCAAACTTATTGTGCTTGTCTTTACTCTGTTATCTATATTCAACCTTACTCCACTATTGTATTCATTCAGCTTCTTTCCACTATTGCATGCATTTGGCTTTACTATATTAAGATTAAATGTTCTATTTATACTCACTATGTTCATTTTCACTCCACTACTATATTTGTTCATCCTCATTCCATCGTCAAGGTCAGACTCTCATCCGTCCCTTCTACCCCCTCCTCCAAAGAAAAAAAATGTTTGAAATGTTAAAGCACAAAAGAGAAAAGGAGAAAAATTGAAACAATTGTGAAAGAAAAAAAAAGTGGATAAAGAAATATTGGAAGAGGAGTTTGTAATAGCTGATAATGTAAAAATGGGGAAATCAAAATAAGGACATGTGCTCAAAACTTGGAAAATAAAGGACTTCTTATCATAAAATATTTTGGCCACCACAATATAAACAAAAGATTCATACCACTTAACTTCCTTAACACATAACTCAACACATTAAACAAGAAAATCAATAATAATGTCTACATTCTCAAGGGAATATATACACTCCTCACCAATCACTATCACGATCACACTTTACATCAATATAAGATGATAAAACATTGTGAACCAGACAAGCCATGTAATTATGTCCTACAGAAGGTGGAAATGGCAACACATCAAGGATGAGTGCAACACTATTATGATCACCAAAAGTTCAATCCAACGGAGTAGCATTAGCAGCCTTAAATGATATACTCTTTGATCAATAACAGCATGGGATGGTAGAAAAATGTACTAAAGATTAGAAGAAGAATCTAAGCACAACAAAAGCTAGAATTCTAGATCTTGCAAAAAAAATTACAAATTTAGATTTAAAAAAGAATGAAAAAATAAAAACAAAAAGCACAATCCCAGAGCAAAGCATTGCCAAAAGGCTTTGCCCTTCATAGATAAATTGCAATGCCCTTCACCTCCACCAATGTGAATGTTTAGGATATAGGAATAAGTATATTAATTAGGGATTAAACCCCTATTTATATACAAGAATGGATGGATCAGATTTAGAACCAAATGGACAATTCAATGCTATAGTACTATAATTAATGTATTACCTAGCTAGGGTATTACATGTATTTATAAAATGTACAAATAACTTAAATAATTAGCATAAATACAAATATTAAACTTAAAATAATAATTTCTTCCATAAAGATAAGGCAAAAGCTCTATTAAATAGCAAAATACTGGTAGTTTACACAGATCTAAATACTATTAAACTTATTAATTGTCAACAGTAATTGACATGACTCCCTGTATTGGCAAATCTAATCTAGCATGTCTTTATAATTTTGGAATCCCTCCAAAAGAGACTGAATTCCATCCAAGCTGTGCCTGCCATCAAGGCTGTGCGTGCCCCGAGCCTATAGTACCACGTTTGAACGATGAGATGCCCACCATCACCGTCAAGATCCACATACTACGTTTCATCAACCTGCAAGGATAAGAGAAAAAAAGAAAGCAGTAATATAAAGCAGCAGTCATCTCACCCACATTCCCACAACAATGCAGAGCACTCCCATTGATCAACCCTTCAAACATCAAGCCTCTAGAAGCAGCTCTGTGACAGAGCTAAGATAAATGCTCATGTGCGCCTTCCAACCTACATGTGAAAACTCCAATCTATGACTTGCAGGAGCAGGTCTAAATTCTATTCCTGGCCACAAGTGATCAGGGCGAAGACTCCAAGTCTACAATATATATTTTTACCTCTCAGGCATCCCTAACACGTCATCCCCCACGTCAGCTTGACACGTTTTTTTAGAGTTTAGGGTCTTAGTCAGGGCGGATCAAATTCTTAGCGAGCTCCAGCTCCGGTGTAGTGAGGGAAAGAAGGAAAAGCCCTAATCCCAAAAGTGAAGTGTCCTAGCAAATCAATGCCACATGGGATTAACATATGTTGTTAATGTGTAGACACGACTCGTGCATGGCCTTACACTACATGCATGTTACAACTGTCAGCCACTATACTTTTGGCCAGTAAAAGCATGTCTACTGACGCTAGCTTAGGGACGGCTGTGAGAAGTTGAATGAAGTACTCAAAGGAAAATCCATTGCTATAAGTCCATATGTGTAAGGAAGTTCACGTTAACTTTGCATTCTAATAATAATAAAAAATCCCAGATGAATTGCCTGAAGACTCGGGCAAACCTTTGCGATCAGCTTTCTGGAAGCTTTGTTCTCAAATTTGTCTTCATGACAACATTGAGCAGTGTTCAGCCCGACCGCTGCATCCACTGGCTCTGCGGATGTGATGCAATGGTGACACAGATGGAGCAAGGCCCAAATGAATATAGTCCCTTGGACAAGTTCTTGTGCAATGAGACCTTGTCAACAAAGCTTTGTATGGTTCCCAGTGCTTCTTTGGTGTTGACACATCTTTATGCTCCATTTATGGCCACCATCATCTGTGTCAACATATTAAGAGGCCTAAGCCTGAGAATGCGGGGATCAAGAAGAAGCGAGAAGAGATGACTCGGAGTTGAATGCCCTGATAACGTGCTGCTAGCTGGGAAATATGCCGGCAAGCATGCATTCAAACCCGCGAATAAGAAGTGGTATGAGCCGCATTAGTGACAGGCAGGAACATAATAGTCAACTTACATTAAAACTGTTCGGCACGGCAAACATCTGCTGCAGCCAGATTCACGAACTTTATTCTATTTCATATATATCTGAGAGCATCAGTCCGATGGCGTGCCACATCAAACGGTGATGGAGGTGTAGTTGCTGGCAGTCTCCTCGATTTCTCCACAAGCTTTGTTCTTCCAGCAGGGTCCAGCGATGCAGTTCCCTTTGCCGCAGTAAGCTCGCCCGGTTCCACACCAGTTGAACTTGCTGCAGCAGCGACCAGGATTGCAGTACTGACGTCCTGCGGGGCTGCAGCTCGGATCAGCATTGATCACGACGAAGTTGGGGGCTACAAGTAGCATGATCAACAGAGACAAGCCAAGAGGTGATGCAAACGCCATTCTGAGTAGAACAAGGATTATAAGCGCGGTAGAGAAAGATGGAATTGCCTGAGAAGCTTTGAGGAGCTGGAGAGAAAATGAGAGGCCCTTATATAATCGGGAAGTTGTGGTTGAGCACGCAACTTGAAACGTAGAATAATGGATGTCTACGGATTGTTTAGAGCTGAGCTGCGTCTATAACTTGCTTAACTATTTAAATATACTGTTTTTAGAGCTTGTCGTAATACCAGCTTAGTTTATTGCAACTGGGAGGCCTGTGAATCACTTACAGTAGCTTACAGACAAAACTGAGACTATATGGAGAAAACGTCTCACAGATACTGTATGGAGAAAACTTCAATGCGCATCAAACTCCACAAGACAGTGGCTATTTATATCTACTGTTTTCACAGTGGGCATCATTTTTGTTCTCTCCTGGTGATTGTTTGTTTCTGGTGGTCACAAGGCTAGTAATTTTCCCAGGTACCGCCCATATGTATGGACATGTAATCTGTTTGTTTGTTTGTTCTGGTGGACATTTTTTTATTAAACAGATTGCATGAACCTGAGGCCTACATCCATCACCATACTAGCCCACTGTGAAAACAGTAGAAGAAAATGAGGATCTACATGGGCACTGTCTAGTGGTATTAAAGAGTTAGGTCAACTCTTTAATGCGGATTGAAGTCTCTGTTTTGTCTGAAAGCTACTGTAAGAGATTTGCATCCAGTATTATACTTTCTTAATTGCAAGGTCAACCACAGAAGCTAATATGACTTCTGTGACTTTATATATATAAAGCTGTAGTCCATTTGTGTTTAAGAAGCATGGGACCCCATCTACATGAATGTAATGCATTGTTCCTCTCTCTCAGGTTCTATAATAACAAATTTAAAAAGCTAAGCAAATTATAAATGTAGCTCAACTCTAAAAAATTAGTTAGGTTTTATTTATCGGGCAATATAAACACAAAAATTACTGGAGGAACTTTACAATAATCCATGTACAAATGGAAAAACCATGGCATAACTGGAAAGAGAGAATCGAAGGAATATAGAAACTGGACGCCAAGGCATCGAGTGCGAATAGTTCCTGCTTAGGGTTCAAAGGCTGGCTACCAGGTCTAGATAGAAGTCCAAGTTCAAGGACTAATGAATCCAAGATTTACGACCAGGCACATGCTGCCACAGTTTCGGACAGGTAGTTGTCACCGGACATGTCCACTCTGTGAGTTGGAATCTTGTGTCTACTTAGAAAGGAACATCATCTAGCCTTCCTCAACAAAGAAACCACAACACCGCTCTCTACTCTTTAGGTAAATGCAATGCCTAAATTATATACCACTTTAGTTGAATTCTATCCCAGCCGAGCTCTTGACAAACATGAACAGGGTTTGTGTGGCAAAATTGGGTCACGGCAGGGTCCCAGGTTTTCCTTCCAGCCCTCAAGCCGATAACAATGCGTTGCCCAGGCGGAGTTTCATTCCAGCAGTCACTCTCTTCTCGTGGGCGGTTTGTAGCAATTCCAGTGGAAATGCCAATGCGGCAGCCAATGGGGTTCCCATGATGGTGGAGCCAGACCTTCCAAAGTAGCTCCTCTTCTGGCATTGATAACGTTTAAACCTGTGCTCGTTGTTTCTATGTTGTTCCAGATTTCGCAGAACATCCAGTGGTCTCAAAATCCAAGGTTCGATTATCATTGTTCTCGCGAAGTTCCAATCTTTTCTGTGGCAGAAGTTTCCGAGGGAATTGGACCGGAAGCTCGCAGAGGCCGGATTGTGGAGTTTAACTACGTGTGCCGCAGATCAAATGGCTACTACGTCTACAGGTACACTTGCGATTTTATCGATATTTCAAAACCACACTCTCTTTTGGGATTCTATGTTTCACCTCGCAGCACGATGGATTCATTTAATAAGGACAGTGAGCCAGTAACATTCGCGCTAGGCGAAGGAAAGGTCTGAATTTTTCATTCCATTCAATAGTTTTTTCTTCTTCACTTTGTCTTTAAGACTTTTGTTTTGATTGCTCCCAGCTTATCTCGGGATTGGAAGAGGTGATTACTGGAATGAAATCTGGAGGTAAGTAAGACCCAAGAAAAAGAATAGAAACAATGCTGATTTTTAATTCTCAGGCAAAAGAAGAGTGCTCATACCTCCCAGCCTTGGGTATGTTTCTCCAGATCTCGAGCCCCAGCCCCCAGAGGTAGAGAGATCCAAAAAGAGTTTAATCTCATTTTTATCTTGTTTTGGTCAGTTTGGGCCTCGAAGAAGCCTCATGGCTCACGCAAAAGAACCACTCGTCTTCGAGATCCAGCTCGTAAGAGTTTCTCAATAAAAGGGCGGATCCAACGGCCCTGCTTTTGTAAAGGAATGACTATTCCGATCTAACGGCTCCGAGTGAATGTATAAACGCTGCGTTGCAAGAGCCCTAAATTCAGGACTCTAGGGTTTGCTAGCGATGACGACCGCGGCGAGGCCGACGTGGGCGCCGGCCAAGGGCGGGCAGGAGCAGGGGGGCACTAGGATCTATGGTACGTCCCAGAAATTCTCGGCGCGGGATCTTCCGTCGCACACGCTGCTCAAGACGCGGAAGGAAGGGCAGGGCACGACAGAGGAGCTCCAGCGCAAGGATCTCCTGTCGAACCTCGAGGAGCGGGAGCGCAAGCACTTCGATTCCAAGCTAGATCCGGATGCGCCGCCGCGGGAGCCCGGCCAGCTGCTCCTGGAGGGGGGCGATCGAAGGGAAGGGGGCGATCGAAGGGCTGCCGCTGCGGCCGCCGCCAAGAGCCTCGACGCGGATGATTCGGACGAAGATGGTAGCGGCGCCAGCGATGAGGAGGACGAGGACGAGGAGGACGAAGACGCGGCGCTGGTGGCGGAGCTGGAGAGGATCAGGAAGGAGCAGGCGGCCGAGAAGCTGAGGAAGGAGAGGGAGAGGCAAATGGAGGATGCCAAGGCCAAGGAGGTGGAGCTGGCTCGAGGGAATCCTCTTCTCAATGGCAGCGGCGGCGGTGGCGGCGGCTCGTTTGCTGTGAAGAGGAGGTGGGATGATGACGTTGTGTTCAAGCACCAGGCTAGAGGCGAGCCCAAGCAGGTGAAGCGCTTCATCAACGATACGATCAGGAGTGATTTCCATCGCAAGTTCTTGAACAAGTACATGAAGTAGGCGAGGAGCTGGTCGCGGATCTTGGATGATATGTGCAAGCTCGCTCGGTTGCAATGCTCGCCTGGAGAAGAAAGAGTAAGATTCTCAGAGAGAACCATGTATGTAGTTGGAAACGATGTATTTACTTTGATCACTGCAAACTGTTTCGCAGAGTTTCTTTAGCGAAAACACGATCGCCGTGTTCTTGTCAGTCTTGTGCCACGAAGGGGTGTAGTAAAAGCTGCCAAGGAGCGTTAGCGACATGAAAGCCCAGCACGGGATCATACCTGGCTTGCAGTCGGTCGCGATCTCGCTTCTAAGTTAAAGCACTGCTGCAAGAAATCTTTGGCACATTCTGATGCGTCCGCTGGCACTGGAGGCCCGCTGCTGGCTTTCGCAATGTGGAAGATTGCCGTCCAGGTGTTGTCGATTCCGGGCCACGGATGTCTGGAAAGCTCGCAAGTTTGTGGAACAAAGAACCACTGAGTTTACGTACGTGGCTGTAAGCATTTCTATGACTGTGCAGCCAACACTCCAGATATCAGCACGCCGCCCATAGCCGTCGCCCTTGATAACCTCCGGGGCCATCCAAAACACGGAGCCCCGTATTGACTTGCAGCCGTCTGTGATCGTTGGATCGTGGAAAGCCTGCAGAAATGTGGTGTTGAAGAGAAAGAAATAAGAACTTTGTTTACCTTGGAGGCTCCAAAATCCGCTAGCTTCACAACACCATCTGCATCCACGAGAACGTTGCCACCTTTGATATCTCGATGGACGATTTTGTTGGCATGGAGGTACTCCAGGCCCAGTAGAAGCTGGCGCGTATATATTCTAACCAAGGACTCGCTGAAACGGCCGAATCTTTCCAACATGCTGTGTGCGCAATGGCGAGATGTTACATCACAGAAGATCTTGCAAAATGAAACAAAGGTTACCTTTGGATGGAACCGCCTGACACGTATTCGAGGAAAATGTAGAGGAGATTGTTGGCTTCGTCCTGTTCCATGGCGATGTATCCCACGATATGTCTGTGCCTCAGCTGCTTGTACAAGTCGATCTCTCTTTCCAGAGAAGCTAGATAAACGGCTCTTGATTGTCCGTCGGTGGGTTCAATCTTCAGCTGCTTGACTGCCATGAGCTCGCCGGTCGTTTGGTTGAGCCCGGCAAAGACCTGAAATCAAAAGTTGATAAAACCAGAGCTGTAGTAGCAGCAGTACCTTTCCGTAAGCACCTTCACCAAGCAGTTCACCCCTGGTCCATCGAAATGATCCGCGTATTTGGAGATGCTTTCCTTTCTCTTCCCGTGGAGAATTCTCTGGTGGCAGACACTTCCCTTCACATCCTTCGTTTCCACAGCCAACACACCCGGCTCGAGCAGCATCGTGCCAGTCTTTCCGAATCAACGAGAGTTCTTCATCCGTTGGAGGTATAAACTTGACGGATTTCTTTTCTCTCTTTTGTTCGGCTTCAGCGGGTTCGTGTTGGTTTCTGTTTGCCTCCTCAGTTTTCTCTTGTTGAGGTCTTATGAACGAATTCGGCACTAGATGGCTAATACGCGAGGGACTCTCCAGCCCGTCACTTCCACTGAGGCTCTCCTCGTCGTGAGCTCTTTCGGATCTGTTTGGGCTGAACAGTTCTTCTGGACCACGTTCTCCCCTACGTAACGATGTTGGAGACAAGTTATGTCCCATCCGACTGGTGAGAAGATCGTAGATGCGCTTGTCACGAGTCAGATCCACAGGCAGAAGTCCGTCGTTGTTTGTGGAGAATATGTCGGCACCAGCCACAAGCAAAAGCTTGACCGCCCCTCTGCAGGTAGTCTTACTGTCAAAGTTAGTAAAAGGCAATGGAAAAACAAGACTAAACACACCTATGGCCCGTGGCTGCTGCGTGATGAAGTGCGGTAGAGTTACCCACGTCCCGACGGTTTATATTTGCTCCAGCAGCAAGAAGCATTTTGATTATTTTCTCCCTCCCAAGCCCCGCAGCAAGAATCAAGGGAGGAGTCTAGAAAAAGACAAGCATTGAGTGAACTTTAAAGAGCGAAAACTCAAGGTTACCTTGGAATCTACCTCGCCATCCGGATTATAACCCCTATGCAAGAAATACTCTGCCATGGTGGGCTGTCCAATGGAGACTGCCTCTTCCAATGACTTCAAGTCCTGAACTGCAAGCAAAACGACCATCAACTCAAAAACTTTGAAAGCATAACATACTTGGATCGAGAACTGATGCTTGCTCGCCACCGTCTAGCGAGTCACTGTTGCCGACGGCAACTTTGCTTCGAGGAACACCTTCCTGATGCTCGGGCCTGCTTTGTCTTCTCTCTACGATCTCCTCAACCTGACGAAGCAGCTAAACTTTTAGTAGACTCTTTGAGAAACCAATACACAAGGAACCTCTTCTTGATGGCTGCATAGAGCGCTTGCACGACTGGAAGGGCCGGGTGTCGTAAAAGCCTCCCCAAAGTCCGAGTAATATCCATGCGGACTTACTTCTCTGGAGTTTCGACCGTGCCAGGGCCCCGAAAGAGGACTAGAAGAAGGCAAGCTTGGTGTCCGAGGGAAGGGCTGCCACCTTGTTGACGGGCTGGGAGTTCTAAGGTGAAGCGAGGTAACACTCGACATTGGTTCGTCGTCAGCGTGCGAGCCTGCGCTGTGCCGGGGGAGCGATAGATTTGGCGGCCTTGGGACCGGAGCTCGGGTAGGAGGCAAAAAACTTGGCGGCAGTGGAGGCAAAGAAGGCACTGGAGGAGCAACGGGAGAGATATGCTGTGGAGAAGATGAGGAGGAAGAAGAAGAAGAGGAGGAATGCTGGTGGAAATCGCGGATAAGAGGATGCGAAGGAGGCACGGGTGCCGGTGGCGGTGCCGAAGCGCTGCGGTCGGAGTGGATGCGGGTGATGAGAATGCTGTCGAGTGGATTGGAGTTGGAGTGGCGATGGAAATGAAAAACTGGATTTGCGGCGTCGCCATTCTCCGGCGAATGCTTGGAGTGAGTGGCGGCGGCATTCGCGTTTTGCTCATGCTGCGAAGGATTGGGAAACATCTCTTCACGAGTGCTGTGTTGCCATCGTCACTGGCACATCTGTGAGAAAAGAATCGAGCGGTTAGGGCAGGAGATCCTGGAAATCGAGCAATAGACGCCCCGCCAGCAGGATCATAGTGGGAGAGCTTGGCGCAAACGGGATTTTCCTCCAGTGCCGCTAGAGCAACGGATGATACCTCTCCAGAAGATCGCCGTGGCGGCATCTCGCGCGGTGGAGATCGCGGCCATCGCCATCGCCATCGCCGCTTGGAGAAAGAGACGCCCCGCCTTCCTCCTCGCCGCTAGGGGTAGCCCCCATTTTTGAATTTCCCAGACTAGGGCTGACGTCATACGTGTTACAAGAATCCTTTACCTTTTTAATGTAACGGCCGTTAAACCCTCGATCTCCTGTGCTTTAGCTAGGGCGATCGATGCGCCGCGGCTATGGCGTCTCGCAGGTATCCCATGGATTGATCCGGCAGCAGCAACAAAGAGTGGCTTTTCATTTGCGATCGCGATCATCGATCGTCTCCACCAGGTTTAGCTGCTCGTTTCTTGCGAATCCCGGTCGAAATATGGACTTCCAGGGGCTCGATCCTTCTTCCTTCGTGTTCATCGATGATCACATTCACGATTTCCTGTGAGTGATTCCTCTTCTTCTTGTTTCGTAGTGATAGTAATGTTTCGATCTGATCCATGAACAAAAAAAAAAAAAAAAATTCCTTCAACGACTAATCGAGCGTTTAGTTCGCGGGTGGTTTGAACAGATGTATCCTACGACTGAGAGTGATCCACATTGGTCTAAGAGATTCCGTTGAAGAAACCGGCAGTTGAGGTGCTGTCCTCCCCACTTGAAACCCCGCGAGAAAGGTTTGTTGCGCTTTTTTTTGTGTGTTAGGGTGGTGGTGGGCTGGCTGGCTGTGGGTACATGGTTATCTCTCTCTCTCTCTTTCTCCATTGTGCTCCACCTGATTTACTCTAGCAGGTCTAGTGTGCTTGCAAGCTTGCGCTTTCGTGGTGTGAATTCTAGCGAGAGAGCTTGTGTTTTTGGAAGGGTGTTTCTTGGCCAGATACCAAAAGTTCTCTTTTGTGATTGTTGGAATCTGAGTTATTTTCTTGCCCGAAATGTAGGCTGCTCGGTGCCTTGGCGATGGGAACGATCTGAGCGCTCTCTCGTTGGTACTCTGGATATAGCTCTTGACGGCTGCTTAGCTGATACTGTTTCCCTCGGACAGCTTTCAGAAATGCTCGTCTGGGATATCCCGCAGAGATGACTATTCCGGATTATCCAGCCCAGGAGTCGCTCCCTTCCATCCCTTTTGAGGACTCCAATGTTCGTGTCGCGGTGCGAGCGAGACCACTTATCGAGAAAGAGGTCGTCGATAAGTGCCAGGAATGCGTCTCCTATTCCGCTGATGGAAGGGAGGTCGTGCTTGGAAAGGATAGAAGATTCACGTTTGACCATGTGTTTTGTCCAACGACAGCTCAAGAAGAGGTGTACAGAGTTTGTGTCAAGCCGCTAGTCGAAAGCTGCGTTGCCGGGTTCGTGAGCTCTCATTTATATTTCTTCGTTGATGGCTAACAATGCCTGTTTTTTTTCTTTTTTTGTTTGTAATCTATTCAGGTACAATGCAACAGTCATTGCTTACGGCCAAACGGGGTCTGGCAAGACGCATACAATGGGAAGTGCAACCAATCCAGTTTCTGGTGAAGAAGATTTGGGAATTCTTCCCCGTGCTATTCGTCAGCTTTATGAAAGTATCGAGGAAAGGAAACACGAAGCACAGTTTGATGTGAGGGAATTCTGCGTCAATTTGCAATTTGTATCTGATTCTAGCTTCGTCGTCGCAGGTTAAATGCTGTTTTGTGGAGATCTATAACGAGGAGATTAAGGACCTGCTTCATCCAGACACTCCCTCGAAATCAATCTCGATCAGGGAAGATGCAAATGGTGACATCATTCTTGCTGGGGTGAAAGATGAAGCAGTCTTCACCTACGAGGACATGATGAGGTAATTTATTTTTACGAAGTTGTATTCTGGGGTGATAGTTCTGTTCTTGTTGCAATGATGCTACTTACAGGTGTCTGGAACAGGGTTCAGCATTTCGAACAACAGGGAGTACACTCATGAATCAGCTCTCTAGTCGATCACACGCGATTTTCACCATGAACATTGAGCAGCAATCGCTTCAAACATTGAATGGACACGAAATTATCAGTGCTAAATTCCACTTGGTATGTACAAGCGCTCACTTTTGACTTGTCAATGACAAATTACTCTACTGTGCTAGGTAGATTTGGCTGGTTCAGAGCGTGCAAAAAGGACTGGAGCCGTAGGCATGCGTTTCAAAGAATCGGTAACTATCAACTGCGGGCTTTTAGCTCTTGGGAACGTTATCAGGTATGTAGTTCCACTAGGAAATAAAATACTCATGGATGGTCTTTTCACAGTGCCTTGGGAGATGAACGCAAGCGGGGACAACATGTTCCATATAGAGAATCAAAATTAACACGAATCTTGCAGGTACTAGCTAGCGTTTCTTACTATCATGAGTACGAGTTCATATGATTGCAGGACTCTTTAGGTGGTAACAGCAAGACATGCATGATCGCTTGCATTAGGTAACAACTTTAATTCTTAGAGTAGATTTTCAGTATGCAATTGCCAAACAGTACAGCGGATGTCAACTTTGAAGAGACCCTCAATACTCTGAAGTACGCCAATCGAGCTCGTAATATTCAGAACAAGCCTATAATTAACCGTGATGCTCACTCGGTCCAGCTAAACCAGCTGCGGTCCGAAGTTAAGGTACTTTTTCCTTTGTTATGGTTGGACGATACTGATAATAACTAAAGCTCTTGTGCAGTTGCTTCAAGAAGAGCTTATGAAAGCTCGAATGCAAGGAAATGGGGACGATGCATCTCCATTTATCCTCAAGGGCGAGTTACCAACAACCGAGCTGCAAATGTTAAGACAAAAGAGTACAAAAGTGGAACAGGAATTCCTGCATTTGAAGAAGGAATCTGAGGTAATTTTGAGTTTACACATCGCTTCTACCGCTGAAAATTGTTTCCAGGCTTCCAAAGTGCTACTGAAAAAACTGGAGTCGGAAACATTGCAGTTGCGGGCTGAGAGCAGTGACTATCAGGTCAGGAGTTTTTAGTTTTTTGATTTAGTGAATGGTAACAATATTTTTTGGAACCTGCAGTAACAAGGAGATTTTTGGTTTTTGCTGGTCTACAGTTGAAGTTGGAAGAGGTGTGCACTGAAATGAGCTCTCTTCTTCAAGTGATTCCTCAGTGGGAAAGTAACAAAGATGTGACCACTGCTGCAAGAGTCTATTTGCTGGAGATGATGAAGAGAATACTATGCGCCTTGGGCAGAGCTGAGATGGCGACCATTTCTCCAGAGGAAGCTGAACGAAGGCTGTCTCCTGTGAAAGAGTTACAGTCGACAGATGTTGCCACTGAAACGGAGATAACACCAAAGGTTTGTGTTGTCTCCTACATGACATGTGGCTTACCTGTGTAGCACAGGTGGACGATAGTGCCGACGTTCAGCTTTTAACCAAACATTTAGAAACAATTCGTTGCTTGGAGGAACAGCTTGCTGCAAGAGACAGAGACGTCCAGGCTAAAACGGAAGAAATTATTGAAGCGAAAGAGGACCTTGCTCGGGACGAGCATATATTCACCGAGAAGATGAAAGAAATGCAAGCGTTAAAGAAACTCGCGAGAGACTTCCGCAAAGAAAAGGAGGAGCTTCTGCAGCGAGCTGAGGCAGATGCTACCAACATCACCCGCTTATCTGAAGAGGTTGCTGCAAAAGATAACGAGATCACTGATCTTAAGGCTCTTCAAGCTTCAAGCCAGGAAGCAACAGTAAATTCCTGCGAAGAAGTTCAAGCCAATGAACCACTAGACGCACAGGTATTAATTATTCTTGCACACTCAGCCTTCAACATCAATGCTAACTCGAAACTGCAGAAGATTGAAGCATCGAATGAAAACGGCGAGGTTGATCAGAAGGAAGAGGTGATAATCGAGGAGAAAACGGAGGCTGATTCGGTGCACAAGGAAATCGAGACCCAAATAGTTGAACTTCAGGCGGAGGTACTCGTTTTCCATTGATTTCAATGTCGTTTTTTTCTCATGCTCATCTAGCCCAGATAAAGAAGAAAGAAGAAGAGGCGAAGTCCGTCAAGAGAGAACTGGACGCGCTAGACAGAGCTTCTGCCATAGGTAGAAACGGGAAGAAGCAGCTTCACGAAGAGCTGGAACAGCACCTTAAGAAACTCACGTTTAACCTGAAATTCTTGAAGAAGCAGCGCTGGCAGCTTGAATCTCAGCAACTAGAGCAGCAGAAAGTAAAAGCTGACGAGAAGGTACGTGTGGTTCTAGTCCCCAGAGTAATACTCAACTCTGCCAGCGCTCGTGCAGGTACAGCATCTTCAGCACCAGGTCACCCGAATGAGAGCTCAGCAAGACTCGCTAAAGAAAAAAATCAAGGACACAACCGAGAAGTTCGAGGATCGACAGCGCAGACCAGAGCAAACTAAAGAGGATGAAACAGGAGTAAGCATCTCTCTCATTTCATTCATCATGGAAGCTTACAGTGTCTCACACATGCTTAGCAGGAGCTCGTGAAGATCAACGGGCACGCGCCTGATCCGTCAGAGCAAGACGAGCGGAACAAGATTTACGAGCAAGGCGGTGAGACGTTACTCACCAATCTTGAGGAAATATTTGGAAGACTCAACCACCAAAGTGAAGTGTAAGGTCAAGTCGATGTTTATAGGAGACCCTGATCCTCGATTTATTACAAGCAGGCTGGATCAAAATGGCAATGCCGAGGAGCCTCGGGATAAGGAAAACGAGGAATACAAGAACATAAATGACAACCTCCGGCTAAAGCTTCAACGGGTTATATCCTCATGGTATGCTGAGAAGCAGGTGCGTAGTATCTAGTGGTTCTAGTTCTAGCTCTAGTTATCTAGTTCCATAGTCTTTTGAGATCACGAACTTGTTCTCTCACATTCCAGATCCAGAGCTCTAAGCCTTGCCTTTTGTGAACACTTTCCAGGCCGTGGAACAAACACTCCAGAGCGAACGGCTGGCTTGGGAGGCAAGAGTGAACCAACACGAGCAGCTGGAGCGCGATCACAAAGCTCTCCGGGAAGAGCTGGAGAACACGAGATCGCTCATGCACAAGGCGGGGCTGGGGATCAGGCTCTCGTCCCGGAGCGTCCGAGAGATCAGCGATGGCGACGTGGATCTCAGGACCTCCGTCTCGTTGCCGCCCTCTAGAGGTAGCTAGCTTCTTAGCTTTTGCAGCTGGTTTCAGATATTCAAATTCAAATGACGTATATTCGGGGGAATCGCACCTCTTGGGCATATGCCGAAAAGCTTTCAAGGGAACCACCAGCGAGCACCGTCGTCCTCGTCGCTCGAAGAAATGGCGTCGTGGGCTTCGTGGGCTTCGCTACTGGTGGGAGTGGCGTCGCTGGTATGATCAACAGGATCCACGGCATCGTCGACCAGGAACGTCGGCTTGATCACCACACCGTCGACGTAGAGCCCACTCTTCCAGTTCCCTCCGCGGATCTCCACCAGCGAGAACTCGAGCGCCACGGGGAAGTCCTCGTCCTCGACGCAAAACTCCCCGGCGTCGTACTCCATCCACCCGTCCTCCACCACTCTGGCCGCCGCCAAGTCGGCCGCCTCGATCCCGCTTTGCCCGCCGCGATGGAGCTGCCTGGCGGAGGCCAAGTAGCGGCGCCGCTCACGCGTGGAGGAGGGTGGGGCCGACAGCGAGAAGATCACGGGCTGGGCCTCCCAGCCGTAAGCGTCGTCGTGCCAGTCGGCCCCGCGGCCACGCCGGCGCGCGTGGCTCCCCAGGAGCTGCAAGCGAAACGAGACGCGGTAGCTCCCCAGCTTGAGGTAGCCGCTGAAGCTGCCACGAATCTCGAGCCAGCACACGTCCCGCAAGAAGGCCACCTCGTCAAACCTGGAAGTGGAGTTGGACCATCGCAAAGTCGATCCGTCGAAAAGAGGAAGAACCAACCTGGATCCGTTCATGGATCTCCAGTCCCAGTAGCGGCCGTCGTCGCCCCAGACGATCCGGAGAGCTCGCGCCGAGATCATGTTGCACACGCCACCTGTCGGCCGATCAATCCAATAGATCTGACAAAGAGCACTCGCATGAGCAGAGAAAATCTCTTGTATCCCCCATACCTTTGGCTTGTCCTTCTCCTCCTCCACGAACACCCCCACGGAGAGCCTCTCGTAGACATCCATCGCGCTCCCGGCGCCATCGCGCACCACTTCCTTCCAGTGCGGCGGTAGCATTCGCCTCCACACAGCGTCCGATCGCGACGCCTCCAGGAACGTCTTGTTGACAAGCGCCAGCCTCCCGACATCGCGAGGCGAAAGCCATCCCAGAATCCCAGCCAGGCAGCCCGCGGGGAGGTCACCCAGCGAGAAATCCTCTTCTTCCTCCATCAATTTCCTAGGTTTCCATGTAAACTCTTCATATATGCTTAAAGCGTATGTCAGAATATTCCATCTTGGGCTCCTTTAAATCCACAAAGGGAGATATAATATAAATTATTTTTTTCTAATTTTGCAATATTAGGAATTTTGATTGTGTACAAGGTTAAATTTATTTTAAAAAAGCTGTTATTCATCTCCAGAAAATACATAATAATGCAATTAATGCAATTAGATAACAATGCAACTGCTAATTTTTTTTTGATCATGAAATTTAAATTTGATAGTTTGATTATCTTTTTAATCCTTTTATAAAAATGTGCATAACCCTTAATATATCCACAAGATTTCTAAGGAAAGTTATTCAGATTGTTACTACATTTATATTAAATCTCATAAGCTGGCAATAAAGAATAATTCTAAATATATTGAGAAAATATAAATTTTCAGAATCTAAGAGTTCTTTGCAACACAAAAGATATTTTCCATATATTTTATATATATGAAAAACTAACTTTCTCTTGTTAGATACTAGTTATTGCCTAGCATATACTGCCTAGTTAGCAAACACTATTTTGATTATTATAGTTTTATTACATTGAAAATTAAATTGAAAAAGTATCTATAAGTATATGGTTTTTCATAGAAAATTATCAAATTCTTTAGAGGGAATTATAAGATTTAAATAATATAGCAAGTCTCCATTGCAAAAGGTTGAATCTCAATATTAACCAACACTTTGCATGTTACATGTGTCACAATACTTTCTTTTCTTGCCCCAATCAATAAGTGTCGCAAATGTGATTTTGGGTATCGAAAACTACTTATTAATTAGCCCTTTCGGATATTCTTTCCTTACTGCTACTACGGCAAAAGGTCGGTATTGCTAAACCTTTTATCAGTCCTTTTTGTGTTAGTGGAGTTATATGGGCATTTTGAGTGTACTTAGACCTGACAAACATAAGGACAGAATTCTTACATATTATTAATTAAGCATACTTAGCCTAGTTGGGGTGGGGCTATGGGGTGGTTCCAAATATATAGTAGGGATAGTGGGTAGGTTGAGCATAACTAATCAACTTAAGGCATAGTTTAGTTCCCACTTGCATGTTTATTCTTGTTTTGCATCTAACTTGGGTCTAAACCTAAATTCTATACCATGCTAGTTGGTGGAGTACCCATATTCTCATGTTAGGCCATCAATATTCATTTTACGTGCTGGTCTTGGCATTGGGATGCTGAATGTTTTAAGACTATTCTAAGTCGCTTCATACTCCTATCCCTTCGTTTGTTAGGTTATATGTTTAAGAGTTGCTTTGTGGTCCAGTTCTATCACTCCTTATCTTCATGCTTAGGAGTTTGGCTTGTACCTTCGTTTAATGGCCCAAGGCCTTGAAACTCAAGTTTCACACCATTGTCCTTGGACACATGGAATGTGACATATAACACATGGAGGGTTTATGTTCCACTTCGTGGTTATTCTATAGTAAATCACCATAGAATAAAGGGTAAAAACCACATGCATTACATTTGGTATTAGAGGATACATCTCAACAAGTACTATACAATGAGATTGAGCAACTAGTCTCATGGTATATATAAAGATGAAAATGATGATCCAAGTGGGTATATGTTTGGGTGCTAAGACTTCATATTCGTTCCTTGAGTATAGATTTTGATTACCTTTTGTACCATATTGTGTAAGCTTGTGCTTGGGCTCATAAAATGAATTGAGATGTTTAGTTTGCACAAGTTTGCGCTTAGGCTAACTCAACTTACCACTCAGCTCATTTGAATGCCAAAATAGTTGCTAACTAGCAAATGCATAAATGTCAATAACACAAAGCTATACCCAAATTATTAATACTATCTTCATCAAAACTAATAAAACTTAACATCATATCTAAGGAGAGACAATTTATCTCACTTGAATCTTAATATCAACAATATTAACAATAAAGCATCACTTCAATGTCATCAACACCATAATAAAGTTAATACAAAGCAAGAATGAATTACCACCCAAAACTCTTTAGCAACAAAGCTAACCAATGTTAAAAATACCTTAGTCAGTATTTGAAATCAATCCTTCAATAATACTCAGTTTTAAATAACACATCATCAAGGAGTGATTCACCAAGTCCAAGACTCAATGAAATCCAACACTACAGACTAAGCGCAATCAAATGATATCGACAAAGGTGGAATTGATATACCAACATGGAAAAACCATGCAAGTTTAACGACACGGTCCTCTGCAACACTATCTGGTAAAGCAAGCCTATCATTGCCAAATCATCATCGAGCGAAGCACGTATCAAATGTCCTTGACAAAGTTTACAAACAATCACTAGTTGTTAAGCAACCAACAATCACTCTTTCAACTTATCTTCTATAAAACCCAAACACTAAACTCGCATCATCGAGTTATATACTTACACTAGGTATGAGATGAAGGTTTATGGACAAGCACAAACTAAATGACCACTCGAATCTAACTCAATTGCAATAAGCTTACTAATGCATTTAGTCAATAGCTTTGAGTATGCTTTGAAGAAGTTAACTATACATGATCAACATTTAGTCGAAACTAAAGTGAAAACCATGAGATGAACTCATATTGGTACCTCATAGACAAAGCTATAATATAGGTATTAACACCTCAATCTCAAACAATTAAGTTAAACATCATTATACTCAACCAAGGTGCAAGACTACCAAGACTTAATCAAGATCAGTGAGAACTCACTACTCTCATAAAGTTTAATAAAATGCAAGGTGTAACCTGCTACCAAACACAACACTATAAAAGAAAAGCACAAGAGTCACCTTTCTAGAAAAGCGTAATAGCCACTTTTCCACACCAACTCCAAACTCTATTCAACTCAATTTCCTTAGCCCCAAAAGTCAACATCCTTTTCGAGCTACATCATACAAACTATCTACTAAAGTCTTAAGTTAACCAAAGTCAACTCCAACCCCTTCACTAGTTTGTACTGGCTTATGAAAATGGAATGGTTTTCAAGCAAAGTGATTAACAGATCAGCCATTGGAGAAGTGTAAGAAAATTTATGAAAAATTTTCTATCCTAGAGAAAGAATGACTCTTAATCTAGGAATATAAACTTTCAAGACTCAATCAACTTCCTCCTACTAACAACTTCACATAAATTCACCTCAACACAAATTCTCAAAACCCATAGTATGTTTAAGCCTTAAACATCATACCTATATTTTCGATATCTAACACTGACATTCACTAAATGCAAAATAAACATCCAAGGTTTGATCATAAAGATTATATCTTTGGATATCCATAATGCATTAACACTCTTCTTCAATCACCTCCAAAATCCAATGTAAAGCCAAAACATTAACAAAAAAAATGATATAAAATATCAAGGTCTAAGGAAAATTCCTCATCACTCAAAATAACAATGCCACTTCCATTAACACAAATATTCACAATGCCAATGCCTTAACTTCACAGTTTTACTATCCAATAATTTATTCCAAATGCAATAGATTCACCAATAAGCTATAGAAAGTGAATGCTATAACCCTTTCCAACACTTTATGGGCAAACTCTCAAAGAAACAAAATATTAATTTAAGCTTAGCATATTATAAATCACTATTGAAAACAAAGTCAAAATTACTTCAATGCTACTACATATAAGTAGACTAACTTCACTATCAACCATATTGGAGTTGATTATTGTTTGACTAAGCAACTTTGTAAACACATTGCTTATTATCACATGGATATGATATAAAATCACAATGACTTTATCACTAATTGAACAACATCATGAACAAGCCCACATTACTACTTCAAAAGTTTATGTGAGTATCAAATACCTACTCTATTTGACAAAATGCAATATAAATGTTACACTCCACGATAAAAATTTACAACACCAAATACCACCAATTTTGTTCATAATATAAATAAACTCATGCCACTCTCTTTCCAACCAAACTCAAAACTAATCCAACACCAAGTTACTCAAGGAGCGATAACAAGATTCCCTAAAAAAGAATTGAGCATTGCATCCCAAGTTTTTAATAGCAGGCTTAGGTAAAATGGTTTAGTGCTTTACCACTATCCATCCCACAATTCACCACTTGTAAAACCATCACTTCCAAAATGCATCAAGATAGAGACTTCTTGATTGCAAGTAATCACATTGAAAGCCAAAGTAAAAAGTGACTTATTGAATGAAAAATCGACTATTGCATACTCATAAATGTTGGATAGCCAATAGAGGTGGTTTTCCCTGCGTACTCCACTATCCTGTTGCAGCTTCTTCTTGTGAGATGCATTTGTGGTAAATTCAAGCTCTAATATAGATGCATAAATCTCATCAAGGCTTCTTTTTTCTATGGGCTCCATTGAGTTGCACAAAATATCATTGTGTTTCTAGTGTGTTCCTTCCTTAGTCATAGGAGTTTTGCATTTCCTACAAGCATATTTCCCACGTAGTATAGAATAGTTAAAGGCATCCATAAGTTGCTCAAGTAAGCAAACCACAAACATTAAATATTTAAATCCAAAAAGTACCTACAAATAGTTTCAGCAACTCGTACTAGGCTGGATGATCAGCCGGGATGACAAGTAGAACTCTTTGTTTGAATTTTCTAGGCAGACCACCATATTCTTGCAAATGAAGTGTATACTCCACTTCCACACCCTTGACAAACAACTTGATTAACTCCTTCACAAGTAGGTCAAGGAATGCATTTAGACTGTCCATTCCAGCTTCAAATTAAGACTTTGAAATATACATGACTGGTAGAGTCATGGTTGTTGCTGAAGGTCCTTCCAGCCCAAGATTCAAAACCTTCACATTCATTGCTCCAGAACATTCATTCTTTGTTTGGTTCTCACAAACTGAAAGCTGTCCCAATGTAGTTGCATCGCTAGGTTCCATGGATCCCTTATAAGCAGCAAATGTGGTGCCTAAAAGCTGGATAGACAATGTGGGCACAAAATGTTGTACATACCCCTACCATTAGGTTGGAGAGATTGCATGCAAGCATTTGTGACTAGCCACATGTGGATGTGTTCTTCATAGGATGGACATTGAAATGGCAATTTGTATTGTTGATTTGGGTCGAAGAAAGCTTGGCAGTACCTCCAAGTACTTCCCTCCTAGCAGTGCTTCAAAAGCAGCAGTCCTACCTCTCTAGGCATCTTTTGCTTTCCATGGACAGAGATCCTCCCAGCAGATGGATTTTACCTTTGATCTGAGGCACAAATGTGATGCTATAGGGATGTAGTAGGAGACTGTGCTAGTATTCCTGCTTCACAAAATGTACACTCCTCCTTGTAGACTGCACAACTTAGTCTTGGAAGCAAAATCGTAAATTAAAACTCAACAACACTAGTTTTTCACTTACCTGCACGTGCAATAATCAAGTCTATTGCCAAAAGTGTAAGCTGGCATGTCCTTATGACAACACAGCACATGTCTCTCTACCTTTGGCATGATTGATAAGAAAATGATCCAATAATCTGGAAGAACAAGGCACCTTCAATTCCCCTAATCTACCACTCCATGAAGGATAAAATACTTGAGCAAAGATTACTTCCCCTATCCCAAACAAAGCCTATAGAATCTTAGACCGCAACGCTTCTGAGATGTGACCATTGTCAAATAGGTTGCACAGTCAGAACAAGGACCTCACTGCTATAGTTTCCAAAGGGGGCATTGTTGTTGATCCACTAATTTCTGAGGCAACATGCTCCCCTGCTATCTCTTCGACGCTTTGGGTATCTGGATTTGACAAAAGATCTTCGAATTCCTCATCCCCATTGGCATTTTCTCGTGCATTTCAGGCAGAATAGAAATATGGAAAAGCTACAACCCTAAACACCAATATGTACACTCAAATTCCAAAGTCTAAGTGGGATTTTCATATTGAATAATGGTTTGTGAATGTGGCAAATACCAAATTGTGTATTTTGAAATCGTGCCAAGCATCCTTTGGTTAATGAACCAGCCACTAGCCTTCATTAGCATCTATGATCTACACAAGAATACCACTCAAACTCAAAACTCTAAAGCAGAGGGAATACATTGTCAATGGGAAACAAGTGACCAAGAGTGCCTGGAAATGGCATCAATGGTGAAAGTCATCTATTAAAACATGTTGATCCAATGTAAGCTATATTTGTCAATGTTAATTTTGGTCAAATGTAGATTTTTTATTAGATCTAGTTTATATAGGCATATTTGTCGCAAATGTAACTGCGGGTATCAAAAGTTATATGTCAATTAGTTTTTTTAAATATTCTTTCCTTACTGTTATGATGGTAGAAAGTCGGTATTGCTAAATCGTTTTTCAGTCTCTACCCAAGTTAGTTGAGAAACTAATCTTCACATGTGCACTTGGTTAGAAGGGTATAAGGACAAAATTCCTAAATGCTATTAATTAAATATACTAGACTTGGTTAGAGAAATTCATTTGTTGGCCTGCACTTGTTACGGTTAAAAAACCTTTGCAATATTGAGTTTGGTCCCTTAAAACTCGTTAAGTGATAATTTACCACATCCGTTAAGACACTCTCACTATTATACCCTTTATATTAGTTCTGTCTAATCCCATTAGCTATTTATAGAAAGTGTCTAGATTTCCTAATTTAGAATATTTATGAAAAGAGATCATTCTAAATACAATGGTGTTGCTCTTATGTCTAAATTTGCAATTTAAAGCCATTCCATATTTTGATTGTCCCAAAAACTAACTCCTGGGATTAGGGTGAAAGCCCAAAGTATGTATTCCTCAAAGGGGGTGGGGTGTGTGGATTCTAAATGTATAGTAGTTGACAAATTTAAGGTATAGTTTAACTTCCACTTACATGTCTATTCTTGTTTTACTTTTGGCTTCTGGCTTGGGTCTAAGCATAAGTTCTATACCATAAAGTATTTATATTCTTACATTAGGCCATTAATATACTAAAATAGTGCCAAACTCTATTTAATTCTATTTTACATGTTAATTTTATACTAGATGCTCTAAAACTGTTCTTATGTCACTTTATGCGCATGGTCCGTATGGTCAGGGACTTGGCCATTGCCAAGTTGAGGAGTGGAATGACCAGGCTAGCTGTGGAAGAGCTACTCAACACCGAGAATATTGTGTTCTACAACATGTCTACCATTGGGATCCTGGAGGAGATAACCAAGGCACATCAACACTTGGCGGAATTGCTCGAGAAGCACTACAGGGAGATCCAAAGCCAGTCCTGCCGAAGAACAAATCCAAGAGACTGGAGGTGGTATGGAGCTCTTCCAATTCGGCTCATTGCACCACTTGACACCATCACGGCCAAGCTGCGCTACATCGGAATAATCAAGCTGATGCTGTTTGCTCGTTTCTCAATGCTCCGGACGAGTCCATCGTCTCTTACTTCCTACACTCTACTCGCCTACTACCGCCGCTCTGACAATTACATCAAAGTGAAGCGTGGTCGGCAATCACCACCTTGGCTGCCAAGCACCAAGAAAACCATTAAGGGAGGACCAGCGTCCCTGGCATCTCTCGGTTTGGAACAATGAACAAAGCTTCAGCACATCAGGTCTTCTGCAGGATCCCAATATATTGTTTTTTTTTTTAAATATCATCTAGGGCTCTTGAAAAACTGTGAGCGGAGAATGCAGTGCCTTGCGGCCCATGGCGGCATCCAGCCATGGAGCTCCAGCAGCCGCAGCTGCAATGAGCAGCTTGTCAGCAGACTTGGAGTTGGAAATCCTGTCGTGGCTGTCAGCCCGCGACGCAGTGTGGGCGCAGCTGGTGTGCAAGGGCCAAGCGTTTGGAAGCTTGCCTGTAGACCACATTTGAGGTCTCCCCGTTTTCTTGTTCACAGCAGGAGCGTGTGGCGGCCGTGTCCCGCCAGCCGCTTGAAGAATGGATTTTCGCGCATCAGCCAGGCCCGCGCGAAAGGAGCTTTTAAAAGAGCCTTAGGTAGAATATTCTCACATACACACAAAAGATCCGTTCATCGTGCTGTAATAAGCATATAGGAAATTGATGAATTTCGACCTGGCTGCCTGGCTGGGATTCTGGGATTGCTGTCGCCTCGCGATGTCGGAGGCTGGCCCTCGTCAACAAGACGTGTCGCCATCGGACGCTGTGTGGAGGCGAATGCTGAAGGAAGTGGTGCGCGATGGCGCCAGGGGCGGGAGCGCGATGGATGTCTACGAGAGGCTCTCTGTGGGGGTGTTCGTGGAGGAGGAGAAGGACAAGGACAAGCCCAGCTATGGTGGATAGAAGAGACTTTCTCTACTCATGGGAAAATGCGTAGCATTGACTTGTCCAGAGCATTGAGAAACGAGCAAACAGCATCGGGGCGGATGGAGTCGGGCTTGATCATTCTGATGTTGCGCAGCTCGGCCATGATGGTGTGAAGTAGTGCAATGAGCCGAATTGGAAGAGCTCATCTCCATAATCTCACGACGTTTAAAATTAACCCTTTATGTCAAGGCTTCTCAAGTCTGTCTAGTGTTGACAGGCCTTGGTGGACAAGCCTTGGTGGATCCCAATGGCTGACGTTCTCAGTGTCGTGTAGCTCTTCCACTGCCAGCCTTGTCATCCACTCCTCAGCTTGGCAATGGCGAAGTCCCTAACCATGCTATTGCACTGTTCCAGCTCTGGGAGCTCCTGACTTACTTTTTCGGAGTCCCAACATCCACACATGCACCGTCAATCTCTTCATCCTCTGCCTGCGAAGTTCCCTCAGCTTGACGTCACAGAGCGTTTCTCCAGCCTTTTTGCTTCTGTCCTGGATACTTAGCAGTCGTGATCCTCATCCCAAGGAAAAGAGACAACTAGAAGCTTATTTGTTCAGGCTGAAATAATCAACCACTAGATGAAAAGAGCCATCTTTTCTTGATGCATCTCAAGCGTATCAATAGGAGATCAAGAATGTTGAATAAACCTTTGAAAAGGTTTTTCTTGATATATCTATGTAATGCTTTTAACTCCAATAGTGAAGATTATAAATTGGATTAAATGATGGTGACTTCCTTTCCATAAACATTCATGTTAGCATTTGGAAGAAAGAGCTAGCTTGTTTGCAACACAAGAAGATGATAGATGATTAGCTATGGTGAAAATAAATCACAATGACTAACTCAGCTAATTGGAGAGGAAAAAGGACTTAGAAAAGAAGAGAAGAAAAGAAAATGTTAATCAAATTGTTTCAATTAACATCACACTACTTCCAATCAATTTTTAGATTTAACAACTTAAACTAAAGAAGACCAATAATGATGAAAGTTTTTGGTATTGAGATAATGTTGAAATAGATATTAGAACAAGTCCCAAATGCTATCACCTCCACCAGCTTAATTTTGTATGTGATGGAGATATTGACCATCCACCACTTGAATATAAATTCAATATTGTGGTCGTTAAAGGAGAATGCATAAGAAATTATACACTCTTAGTTATAAGAGACTAAAAATGAGCAATAATATAAAAACGTTTGGAGATTTGAGAAGGAATATAGCCAAGATGAGAAAGAACAAAGGAGTTGTTTAGTCCAATAGCCCTAATTAGATTGGACGTTTGTGTTATTGGAACTAGAAGTGCAACATCCAATGAGGACAACAAAGATAGTACTCTTCAAAGTTGTTTGCATATTTACAATACATTTAGAGGTGGTTTTCAATCTAGGGTTATTGTTCAACATTGAAGACATGATATTAACAAATAGCTTCAATCTCCATTGGAACTATATTTTGTTTATGGATAAAAAACAAAGGTTTGATAACAAAGATCCAATTGACATTTTTACAAATGATTGTCATAACAAATAATAGGATTTATGGCCATTGCGAGAGATGTTGAATCTAGTTAAGAAAGCATAAGATCCTTGATATCATCATAAAGGCCAAGACAAAAATGTTCCTTGAAAGCTAGAAAGAAATAATTGATCATATAAGAAAGAGGATAACCACATAAAACAATGTATCAATGAACTATAATCTTTGAGCTATAAAAAATTATATGGAAAAACCATATGAAAGAATAAGAAAAAGAGCATATTTATATTTTTATATAATGCTGAAAAAAACAATACCAAAATTTGCCACATACCATCTACCAATTTGAACTTGTATGGTTTATAAATATATGTATATATATATACATGTATTATCCTAGCTAAGTAATACACTAATTATAGTATTATAACCATTTGGGACTAAATCTGATTCATTTATTCTTGTATATAAATAAGGGTTTAAACCTCAATTAATATACCTATTCTTATATCTTGAACACTCACATTGAGAGGCATTGCAATTTATCCTTAAAGGGCAAAAGTTTTTTGGCAATGCTTCACTCTAGTGTTCAAGATTGTGCTTTTATCCTTATTTCCTCATTCTCTTTTAGATTTAGATCTATATTAGCTTTTTGCAAGATCTAGAATTTTAGATAT